CCCCCCGCCCCCCCCCCCCTCCCGGTTGCAACGGCACATGCTTCTAAGCTAACCCGCAACTCGCAACTCTCTTCAACATGCACTCCAGATGTGAGCCAGAGACTGACCCGCAATCTACCCCTCTAAAATTAGCTCAAGAACTCGTACTCGCCATCTGATTCAGATGTTAGCCGGCCCGCAATACTTGGTGCCCTTAAGAGACTGAGATGTGAGGCTTTTAGAGCGATTACAGGCATCCCGCTTAAGGTTTATGTGAAAAACTCCCCAACTAGTTGGACCACCCAGAAACTGCCATACACCCTAAACCCGAAACTTGCGACCGCTCGCCTGTGAAACATGGGCACTCGCAGTCAGGAGTCGCTTGCCTGCCATGCTCTCAATTCTGGGTTTAGGGTTTAGGGCTCGCACCCACCTGACAGTTACCAGCCCCCTCTTGCTTGTCCGCTGTATAAGTAAGGATCCTGACGTTTGAGGAGCATGACGCAATGTAACTTTCATGAGCACGCATGACAGCGTAACAGCAAACATCAAATGGTCAACAGTGATTGGCTGCGGGACCCTAGAGGTAATCTCGATGCCTAATCCTTCGAGTATAAGCTCCCGACTACAATTCCTGAATCTACATGCTTCCGGTCGATGGAAAGTGGCAGCAAATGAGGATGACAAGGGGATATGAAAGGCCTCAGTTTGAGCAACACCCCTGTCCAGCGCTTCTAGACGCTTCTAGAAAGCCGTTCACAGGTGGAGGCAGAGGAAAATTTCTATAGGTATTGCCGCTCAATCCGTTTATTGTTACCATTGCTTGGGCAGGTTCATGGAGGTCTTTGCGGAAACTGTTGTTGCAGAGCCGTTGTAAGAAAAAACGTGCACCGTTGTATGTTGAAGTTTATGGATGCAATCCCCAAAGCGATACCGATAGACTCCCCGATATACCCCTATATAACCCATTATAGTAGTTTCCATTTTCTTTTCCATTATCCCAATATTTCTATCTATCCCTGCGCCTTGGCTGAGCTATGGGCCTTGCCCCAGGTCGCAGATCTCCAAATCATGGTGCATGGCGACTCGTACGGTAGCAATACTGGAGTGCTACTTCATCAAAATGGCCCTTCGCCAATGTCATATGAACCAAGAGGCATTGGACATGGAAGGATTAAAGCCGTACTGCGACAAAAAAGCCGTGATCTTGTGCAGGTAGAGCAATCCCAACTGGGATGCTAAGCGGGCTGTTCTCAAAATTGGAGGTTGTATTCTGCCACCTACCTAATGTCTAGGGGTGCCAAAATGAGACCCTAATAACTAATATTGGGAACTACCCTAAACCCTAAGCCCTAAATAACAGCTTCCAAATTCTTTTCCACTATCCCTAAAGAACCCCTATATAGACCCCTATATACCCCTAGTCTTCCCAAGCGACTCTGAAAAACCCGAGGTCGGCCTCTGAAGCCGGCATCTCCGCGAAATGCTTTCCGCAATGCGGACAGCACTTTGCCGCGGCGATTGGAACCTCTGAATTGAGTACCCCACCCTGTGACAGTCTGTATGAGGGGTCCTATTAAGGGCCTATGTATGTTATATATATATATATCTTTCTTTCTTTTGTTCAGGCTATGGAGGAAGGAATTGTTTCCCTCCCCCGGGCTTCGCCGCCCAGCCCGTGTTGGGCATACTAGGTCCTACAGCACCCCTCGGCTCCAAAGGACGGTGGGCAAAGCATTACATCAACATTTTAGGAGCCCCTAAACAAAACAACAACAAGTGGTCCTTTGGGGAATGCATGGCTAGCCTCGGAAGAAACTGTCAAAAACATGCGTTGCCTGGAGGTTGCCAGGTCTGGTCTAAATTTGGATTGAATTAGGATTGGATTGAATTTGAGGCTTCTTGGTATGGTCTGTATGCAAAAATTTGTACGAATTACTGGAAGCGGTTTAAACGCGGATTGAGTGGATTGTGCAACGAATTTCCACCGATTTCGGGGTGGCTCAAAATAACTTGGACGGATTGAAGTGTGCATTTAATTTGTGCCACTCATCTG